AAAATAAAGCAAAAGGAAAAAAAAACTGACATTGTTAGATACAGATTTTTTTAAAGGAAAAAAATGTATGACTCTGCTATGGCCAAACATTAAAAAATGATACATCTGTAAAACTGCTCCTATGCATAAGCACAAGTTAGAATACAGTTTCACAATAAATGGTAAAATCGTACTGAGAACATGCTTTAAAACAAGGGAGCCTCTTTGAACAGTCAAATTAAATTATAGCTGAACTCTTACTTGTACTGAGGGTTCTAATAAGCAACAAATAAAGACTTTTATTGGCTAGCAACATAATGAGAGCTACTGTGCAGAAGATTAAAAAAAGACCAATCTGGGTAGTTTATCTCACCGATTATATTATTTACTTAAATGGTAAATAAGTTTGTCCAAAGTAATACTATTAAAAACTAGCATATAAATTTTAAAGCGCAATTATGATCAATGACCATTTAAAGTAAACATCACAAATTTTAGTGATAAACAAATGTGAAATTAAACAAATATTGAATTTAACACCACTTAAGTTCTATTTCTTTAAATTTAACTAATTTATTGATCCCTAATACACTGGCTTTATAAATGGTTTACTATTTATGCTTATATCATGAAGTATTTATCTTGAAGGAGTTTTCTCTCCAAAGTACAGCAGTTATGCGTATAACTACTTCAAAAAGAAAGGAGATTGTCCTGAGTGAACAGAAAGAAGGTACCTCCTCCTCAGTGATTTGGTAGGAAGTTCCTTTTAACAGAACTTTGAAGGTTGGCCTCTTTAACAGACCTCCATCAGCTGACAAAGCTACAAACAGTACTTAGCAAACCAAAAGAGATTTTAAATGTATCGGGGTGCATTTTGCTTGATCATCAGATCATCTGAAAGGTAGAACCCTAGAAATCTTAGCTGACTATTTGACTGTTCTTGGAGAAAGTTCTGCTGCTTCTATCACAGCTAAAAAAAAAAACTACAATAGCACCTCCAAGCCTAAACACTAAGCCAGTACTCATTATCTCCTCTTTTTCTGCAACATTCTGATTGCTAGAGTGACTTTAAAAAAAAAAAAAAAAACTTTAAGTATATCTAATAAAATCATGAGGCTCCCTCTAGCTCTTCAGAGAGGAGTTTACTAACCAATGATCCAATGATCCTATGTAATTCCCATCCAACAGGAAAGATTTGAGGAGGCTGCCTCCCTTCCACAGAAATGTTTTTCAACTGTTTCTTGTAAGAATGTAGATGGTAAATGAGACCAGCTGCAGAGGAATTCAGAAAGCACTGCTCCTCAAGTCCGCAATGAGTTAAGAATCTATTAACTGCTTCCAACCTAAGCTTTAGATACAAAATTCTATAGTGAAACTTTAACCTGTTTAAACTACATATACACTCCCAACTTAGATTTACCCACTTGCTAAAACTAAATTTAATCAAAAAATAAGGACATGCATGAGCATCTATCTACAGAAGTTGTTACTTGTAATCTGGTCTCAGTTCTAAAAACCTACACATAAATTCAGGATCTTGAAATTTTTTAAAAACATTAACAGTGTATCTGTGGCTTTTATATAAAAGAGGCTGATGGTAATCTGTAGAAAACATGTCCATGTACCATAATATTTATACACAACAGTGTTAATAACTTTTACTGTTTAATCTTTTCTGCTATTCAGCCCTGGTATTTTGGGATTGTCGTTATTCAGAAGACTATAAATAATACAGTCCAAGTATGCCATTGATATTTAGCCTACCTTACAATAGCCATAAAAGACACACAGTCAACTGGCAAATCATTTCAAACAAGTGAAAATGAAAAAATGCTAAATCGAACTCCTACTACTCATTAGGACCACCTTTCAAATACTCAAGGAACATTTAAAATTGTGTGGAATCATAACTCTAAAATTAAAAATAAAGGGAACCACTACCTTCAAGTCATCACCTATTGGGGGCTCCCTTAATATAAGAAATATTCCCAGGAACAACAACAAAAAGGAAAGCTCCCCCCCCCCCCCCCCCCCCCTTTGAGCCAGTGTCCAATTTCTTCTTTTCTGAACAGCTGTATTATCCAACTTAAGTTGCTCTGCTAATTTCGGTCCCACAAGGACTAACTTGGAAGGCAAAAAAATACAAGAAAAGATCAATTTGCTGGGAAAGATCAAATGAGAAAACTGTGGGGACAGCACCAGGTCAGCGTGTGGAGAACTAAGCAGACCTGTTCTTCATTAACTGTGGCTCTCTGGGGATGTCACACACTACCTGTCCGTGGGCTTTATTGAACTGCCTAACCCGCCTCTCTGTTCCATTCTTCTGGGCTCAAGTGAATCATATCCTGCTGCTGACAAGTTAGCAGGGGACTGCGGCTGCAACATGAAAGTACTTTTCTTTCTTGTCTAAATCAGGCAGATTTTTGAAAAGACGACACAGCATTGACTCGTGACATGGCAAGATGAAACGAGAGGTCTGGGCCGGTCTTGGAGCTGTGCAGATAAAAGTAATCAAATGACACTCCTGGAATGCAAATTGGCATTCTTGACTGCAGCAATTGCACAACCATGAAACATCCCTGACAGCAAGCAAGATTAGGACAAAATGTTATGTAAAGCACTGAACTCAAAAACTCTCACTTGAAAATTCAAACTGTTAACACTTACATTTTAATATAGCAAGAGTCAGCTCCGCTTTTGTCTGCTGCTTTTTGTAATCACATATCCCTGCCTGACAGATATCTTACATTTCAGGGGGAAGAAAAAGTCAGGTATTGATTGGGAAGGTACGACTGCTATTAATATTTTCTTCCTATTTACTTTTTAAAATCACGCGAGGTTGGTTCTTTTCCAAAGCCTTACATGCAAACAACAGCGAACTTAATATTCTCAAGGACCAGTTTGAGACTTTTCTCACACAATACTCAAACCGAGTTCACGTTCAGGCTCAGTATTACTTCCCTCAGGTGAAGACACTCCTGTACGTTGGTAAAGTGATTAGCAATCTGGATTTTACTACTCTCCAGGAACAGAAAGAGCAGCTCCAACTAAGAACTTCTTTAAGGCTGAAGAGTTTAAATAAAGCAGCTATAAATATAACACAAAACACAGATACCCTATGAAAGTTCACAAGGGATTTTTTGGGTGACTCCAAAGGGTCAATCAAGCAAGTTCTATTAACTTGCACAGGGTCTCACTACTCTTGAATACGTCCTCAAATCAGACACACTACACAGGAATAAATTCCACCACTTAAATAATGTATGTGCGTGCACAGTAACATCTGAAACTGCAGAATACAAAGCAGTGGGTGACAAATGTGCTTAACCACTGTTCAAAGTGATTAGTATTTAGGAATAGATGTGTAGACAAATAGTATACAGGCGAGGGGGGAAGGGAAGAAAAATACCTACAACCGGCTTTTACAGTGTTCTTGTGTAAAATGCGGCTATAAGAAAAACCCTCTAGTGCTAAACAGATATATTTAATATGTTGTTTTGACGCCTCCACTTAAATACAGATTCCAACCATTGCAACTGTCCACGAAGTACATAAGAATTAATAAAACAGGCCACTTCTGCCACTTTAATCCTGGGTACACAGGATTATTTTATGTCTTTTGTACATCAGTTTTACAACAGCTTGACTCTAGGGTAAATGCGAACCACCGTAAATCGCACACTGCTTTCAAAACCACTTTAATTTCTGTCAGCGTTACTGTAACCTCAGTCTTGGGCTCACGCTTTTTTTTTTTTTTTTTTTTTTTTTTTGGTGCCTGCATTTGACAGTCGCACCCCCTACACTCCAGTCGTGACTTTGATCACTGAAACAAGAGATGTCACATTAGGAGGAAGGGAAGAGAGAAAAAAAATGCCAACCCAGCCAACCCACTATCTCCCTTTTACTTACACAGTCCATCTACATGCGGAACGCAGTATATCAGAACCCCAAGAGGGGGTAACAATAGCAGCAAAGGGTGGGAGCAAACTAAAAGGAAGGGAGTGGTCCAGCCCCATTTCTAACAAATCACTTCCCCGAAAGCGGACAGAGCGCTCAGCAGCCGGCGAGCTAATTACCAGCTGCCTCGCTGCAGAGAAGCTGCTTCGGGTAGAGGGGCTGTGCTGGAATCTCGCTTCGCAACGCCTTCCCATCTCCTCCACCACTTGCACTTGGAACTTTTTTTTTTTTTTAATCTCAGCCTCACTTTACAATTTCACCCAGGTTTAGGTGGGTTTTTTTTTCTTCTTCTTCTTTTTTTTTTTTTATCCTGCCCTCTCCCCAGGCCCCAAATGCCACCCTCCAGTCAATGTGTAAGTAACACAAATCGGCTCCCGTCGAACTCCACCTCAAAATCTCTCTCTCTCTCTCTTTAGGGTTGATTTTCCTGCCCTGCGTTTTGCACATTCTTCAGAAAACCTCCAGGAGCACTTCCTACATTTACAAAGGGAGGGTTCCCCAACGCGAGGGCGAGGAGGGGAAAATCAGAGGTGCCGGGGACCAGGCGGCGGTGTCCTCCCCGCGCGGCGCACCAGCGCGCCCAGGCGCCCACGCCCAGCCGCCGGCCCCGCACTCGCGGGCAAGTTTTAAAAGTTGCCGTGGGTCCAAACGGCGTTCCTCTCCGCCCCGAGCTCCTTCCAGCGCTCCATCAGCCCCCGCCTGCCTCCCGGCCCGTCCCAACTCCCCGGAGCCGCCCGCCCGCTTACCGCTCACCTTGCCCCGCCGGCCGCGAGAGGGGCGACCTTCCCGAGCCCCCCGAGCCCACCGAGCCCGTGCGCACACCCGCCCTCCCACCTGGAGGTCTCCTCCGCCACTCGGGCCAAGTTGAAGGGCGAATTCGGGAGCGGGACCGGGGTGGACTGAGGCTCTCCTTTCCTGCCCGCCCTCCCCAGCGCCCCCCTCCACCTCCCGCCGCTGGACTGGAGGAAAACACAGCCCCCGGGCGGCCCCCGAGGCGCGCCGGCGCGGGGCTCCTTTCTTCCGAAGTCTAAAATAAAAAGGAAAGGAGGGTGGAAACTTCTTACCATCTCGGCATGCTGGTTGTCAAGTGCAGCCCCCGCCTCTTGGTCTCCTCTTAGCGGCCGCGCCTGGACCAGCCCCTCCGCCGCCTCACGCTCCTTCTGTCTCGGCCTTTCTTTCCCTCCCCCTCCCGATTTCCTCCGGGCAGCCGCTCTCGCCGCCTCCGCCTCTCCCCGCCCGCCCGCTAGCGCCCTCGCCGCGGCCCCTCTGCGCTCAGGTGACTGACTGATTTACACCCGCGTGCAGGGTCGCCTTCGCTCCCCAAGTCGGAGCCTGCTGAGTTCCCCCGGTTCCTCGGCACAAAAAAAAAAAAAAGAACGGACTGTCCCGGGAGGGGGCTGCTGTGGGGCGGGGTACGGGGAGAACCGGCGGGCGAGGTGACCTCGGGCGGATTTGCAAGCCGCACAAGTTTCTCCTCTCTCTGCAAAACTGTCGCGGCTACGATGTTGCTTCCCTTTTGCAAAATAAAAGTAGGTTGGTTTGGTTGTTTGTCCTCAGATTCTAGGGGGCTAGTGAAGGAGGATGTATGTTTCTCCCGCGCCCTGTTACTTGTTTTCTCTCCCCCTGCTCTCTCTGGGGATGGAAAAACAACTTTGGCGCCCCCCCGGGGGGTGCGGGCTTGGAGGTGGAAGTGGCCGGTAGCGCCTAGCTGTCAAAAACGAGTGGGGGAGACCGGAGGGGAGGCTGTGAAGCGCCGAGGAAAGGGCGCGAACTTTATTCCGACTGCAGCAAACCGCGGCGTCGCTTTCCTTTTCGGGCACTCGCCCGTGTGGGTCCCCTATGACCAGTTCCTCCTCCCGATCCGCCGCCACCCCCTCCTCCTCTCCCCTTCCGTGCCCCCCGCGCTGCGCCGCGCTCCGCTGGGGAAGGCGAGGGAAGCGGAGGAAACCCCAGGGGCCAGAAACTCGAGACGAGAACGTGGTGGGCGAAAAGGCCAAAAGTTGCGCGCGGCTGGGGAGAAAAAAGTTTTTTGGTGGCGGCGTGTTTCGTGCCGGGCCAGACTCTGGCTTGCGGCGAGGGCTTCCTTCCCCTTCCCCTGGTCTGGGCCGAGGGCTGGAGACGCCGGGGGAGAGGAACGGCGCTGCCGCCTCCGCGGGTGCCCGGGGGGGGCAGACCGGTCACATCTGTGGGTGACACTCAGCCGGCCCGAGTCGCCCTGCCCCGGAGATGCAAAAACGCTGGCTGCAGGCTCAGCGCGCACACGCCTGCCGCTGAAGGACATTTCTTCAATGCAGGCAAAACACTCCCGGCCGCAAGAATGAGGAGGAGGGGGGTGAACTTAATCACCGTCATCTTCCTAACGTACACATTGTGCCAAAAACATCTCCGCGTTGTGCCGATTTATCATAGCCTGAACAAACTTTCTGCTTATCTGACAGGGGAGGGAGTCACAGGTTTCGAGCATCCACCCTCTGAGCACTTGGCAATCAGGTTCGGGGAAGACGAACGCTTGCTTGGCAGAACAACAGGTCTGGTTACCAGTTACTACTAAAAAGAGAAAATCATCTCTCCTTCCTTTCTCTTTTCCCCGAAGTAGAGGAAGAGACTGGCTAACTGCATTCAGAGGTCAGAATCAAATTCCTTTGAAAATACTCAGCCTTGGAATTAATGTAGTTTTATTTTCTTTGATTGCACAGTCTGGTCTAAAGTTTAATATAAATTTTCGCATTAATTAAAAATTTTCGGAAGCCGTGACTGACGAGAGACTAGGCAGCCCAAGTAGCCACAGCTGTTTTGAAAATGTGATTAAGCTTATTATTCACGTGGATCCAACTTTTTAACAGTGGGGTCACCGCACCTGCAGTTCTGTGTACTGATTGGGTCCAAATTCCTGACGGTTTCTAGGGCCCTTTCAGAGCAGATTTCAAATCACTTCTGCTTTTGTGAATTCTCTACACCATCTTGTCGTGGAAAGGTTTGTCTGGTGAACGCTTCGACAATATTATACAGTAAATACCTTAGAGTTTTAGGCACATGGTTTAGCTGGAGGTTTCTAGTGGGAGTCAGAAGATTACTTCTCTCACTATAGTACAACTCAAAGTATAGAGTGGATATCTAATGACTAGCCACATATGTAAATGCATGTTATCTAAGAAGGCTCATCTTTACATGGTTGATTAAGGTGTGGGGTGTGCTCTCTTATTCTGTAAACATAACTGTAACATTACCCTATAGTTTGTAGAAACTGATTACACAAGGGATACTGATGGCCAAATGTACTTTCTGAGCCACTGAGGATCATCACAAGAATTCTCCAGAAGTTCCAGTGCGTTTTCCTGTATCACAGGGAGATGAAAAAAAACTAGTTGCTAACTTCAGAGTCATTACCCATACAAATCCATTCACACACTTAACCACTTGGACAAGTGACAGGCCAGCAATTGCCAAACAACTGTATTCACATAGTACGTTTCTGGCTGCCCACCTACACTGGCCAACAGGCAGAAGTTATGCCACATCAAGCAACCTGTAATTTACATTCACCTGATTGGTTCCAGATCTGTCTGTTTTTGATGTTAGCATACACACAGTTTATGTGAGGCAAGATGTGTCTATTTGGGGTCCGGCACCTTTCTGGAGAGAGTCATTATATAGATGGGGAATGTGTTGGGCTGAAGAGCAGCCCTTGGAGAAGGTGGAAGAATTTACGGAAGCAAAGCATATAAGAGAGTTCCATAGTCTCTTATTTCCTCCAGTGAGTTTGTAGGGCAACTCAGACAAAACCTTAAGTCCTTTTTGTGTCCTATAAAACCTTACTGATCTACACCAGCCTGACCCTTTCAACTTTTTTTCCCCCCCATTTTTCATTCCCCTCATGGACTACACTAAAGTCACACTGGTTTTCTTTCTGTTCCTTTACCTTGCCAAGCTCCTTGCTCTTTGCCCCTGCTGTTCTCCCTACCTGGAATATTCTCCCTCATTTTTTAGTGGTTCCTTATTAGTTACCTGTCAGCTGTAACTTGTCCTCTTCAGACTAATTAAAGTAGCTCTTTGCCTACCACCCAAAATACCCCTCACTCTTTCTCCCCTTACTCGTTTTCTTTATATCCTTTAGCCATATCTGAAGTTACCTTGTTTATGTGCTTAGTATTTTTTTCCAACTAAAATGCAAGCTCCATTAGAGCAAGGGTCCACCTTGTTCGCTTTATAGCCTCTGCACATAAAACAGTACCAGGCACAAAATAAACTTAGAAATTTTATTTGAATTAAGGAAGAAATGTTAAAATCATTACACTATGTTGATGATGACCTACCTTAGAGCCAGACAAGTTCACTTAAGGCATATGGGAAAAGTGTTCCCTATCTGTTCTTTTGGGGGGGGGTGCAAAATTCTTAACTTCCTGCCCCAGGGATCCTCAAAGTGTGTGCCAGTCACCCCTGTGGGTCCCCAAGACCCTTTTAGGGGGATCATTTTTATTATAATATTGAGAAATTATTTGCCTTTCTTGCTCAAATTCTTTCATGAGTGTAGAGTTTTCCAGAGACAATGTGACTTAATCACAGCAGACTGAATGTAGCAGATACAAAAATCCACCTATCTTATGTTATATCAGGCATTAAAGAGATAACCCAAAATGTAAATGCCATTTTTCTCACTCATTTTTATTGTTGTTTTGGAAAACATTTCTTTTTTATTTCAAAATATGTGTATATATTCATTCCCTGCAGCTGCTGTAACAAATGACCATACATTTGGTGACTTAAAACAACACAGATTTATTATAATTCTGGAGGTCAGAAGTTCAAACTGGTCTCACTACACTAAAAGCAAGGCTTCCTGGAGACCCTAGGAGAGAATCCACTCCCATTCCAGCTTCTAGAGGCCACCCATATTCCTTGGTTCACGGCCCCTTCGATTTTTAAAGTCCATAATAGCCAGACATGTTCTTCTCATGCTACATCGGTCTGACACTGCCTCCTACTTTCACTTATAACTACCCTTGTGATTGCATGGGGCCCATCTAGATAATCCAGGATAACCTACCAAAATCTCAAAATCCTTAATCACATGAGATTTATTCACAGGTTGTAGAGATTAGGATGTGGGCCATTGTTAGGAGCCATCGTTCTGCCTACCACAAGATAGTAACAAATGATGGTTTCATTATTGTTATTTTAAACAAATTAGGAACTATTTAAAATTTTTCAGAATTTAAATTTCTGATACAGTAAATATCAATAAGCGATTGCCCACATACACAAAAGTTCTTTGTAACCTTCAATAATTTTTAAGAGGTCATGAGACCAAACACTTCAAGAATCCCTGGCTAGCACAATAGCTATTTTCCCTTCTTCCATGCCTCAGGTTTGACTAGATTGTACTAAACCTTTGCTGTGATTGTGTTAAGAATGGGCATGTTTCCTATTTCTGGTCAATGAAGGATGAGGGGAAATCATGGAGCGGGGGGGTGGGGAGAGACATTGAAACAAACAAACAAAAAAGACTGACAAGAAATAAAGTGTCCCTTTTCTGCTCTGGATGTTAGTATGTGAGAATGTGGTACCTGAAACAGCTGAATCCGTCTTGTGACTGGGACGTAACCCATATACCTGGAATGACAAAGTAGGAAGATGGAAAGCACCTGAGCTCTAGATGTTATTGACCGACTGACTTAACTAACCCCAGGTGGCTTGGGACTGCTTGTTAGGTGATATAATTAATCCCCTTGTCATTTAGTCCATTTTGAGCTCACCTTTCTATTACTTGCAGCTTAAAGCTTCCTAAATGTTACAGAGAAGTGGCATGCCTCTGTTGTGTTTCCATGTGGGAATTCCTATCATTTTCCCTCAAATTTGTATATTTTTTCCAAATCTTGTGGAAAATGTGTCTAGAAATTGGTAAAAGTATTATAATTCTATAAGAATTAAAAGTGACTGATCAATGTAGAGATTTACTAGTTCGAATGAATGCAAGAAGTAACATATTTTGGAAACCAAGTAAGTCCTTAAATTGACAATTTCAACCTGTGATTTTGTGCAGTGCTGTTAACCTTGCGAGGAGATCCTGAATAATACGTTATTCAGATACTGCCCAATGTATTCACAATGGACTACAGGTTTTTGTAAAGGCGTTAACCCAAGAAATGCCAAGAGAAAGAATATGTTGTT